TCACCAGTTAATTTGAGATATTTTTGCTAGAGAAGGTTATTCTGGCTGCTAGTGTATCAGATAGAAGAAAAAAATAGTTGTCGGATATTCTTTGCTTTGAACTGCCAGAAATGCGGTATTGTTCTCAAGATAATCACACTCTAATATTAGAATATCTTTCTTGACATTATGCATTTGCTAGAAAGTTTATTGCTGCTTTCAAACAATTTTTTTTGCCAGAAATTTTGCTAATTTTGCAAAAAACTACTTCAGTTTTTTGGCACTTGATTGTTCCTCGTTTTTTCTTAGCTTAATTTGCAACCAAGTTATACGTTTTCATCTTACTGGCAAAAGAGCGAAATCAGTACTGTTAAGAAACTTGTAGCAATTCCTAAAGCTCTCTCTTCAGCACTTATTATCAGCTAAGTCGATGGAATTATAAAATGTGAAAAAGTTGATAACTTTCGGTCTCAAGTTAATATTTTTATTTTTGTATTTTTGTGTTTTTTCTCTACATTTCTTTCTTTTAACGTTAATCAAAGTCTGATTTTTCTACTTAAAACAAAAAATAAACGGTACAGTTTAGTAAATTTGTGACGTACAAATTGAAAAGTGTTCCATTCCTCAGAAATTAAATTTCACACTTTTTGAGTGAAAGTTGTTCTGAGGTTTCAATGCAAAAAACGTCATTTTGTTGCTGTTGACGACACAGCGTTCCAGTTTTTTTTGGTTATCTTTATAAATGTACAAAAACTGCATCAAGGTGATTGAGATTTCAGAGTTTCACAAGTTTCCGATTTACGTTATATACAACTATCGTGAAAGCTCATTGAAATGAAAACGGTGCTTCTTCTAATTCTTAGCGTTCTGCTGTGCCAGGCAACTGGAAGAGGAATCCTCACAACTTGTGCTCGTATGAACAGTGGTTCGGCAGCTGCCAGAAAGATTGCTCAGGGCTCCTGCATTAGTTCTTGTAAATGGCAGGTGCTTTTTTTGTTTCTTAAAATGTTCAGTAAAATTACGTAAAGTATTACTTATTATTTCTGAGGCATTTCATGGATCAGTTTCTTTCGCTAGACGCTCTATACTCTTTTTTTTCAGAGATGTGGAAGTGGAACCTGTAAATTTAGAAGTGGCCGTCCAGTATGTGTTTGCAGCCGATGCTATTAGTGATGATTTTTCTTGCCTGACTGAATATTTCTTATGAGACTCGTTTTTTTGTGAAATTTTTAGGCAATTATCTGTGAACTGACTCTGAAGTGAACTTTATTTTGCAAAATAAAAATTCACAAAAGAAGCTGTAAAGTCTTTGCTTATGAAATTGAGTTGTTGCAGCACTGCAATTGATGTACGAAGGAAAAAGTAAAGAGGCATACCTTTTTGTTAAAAACATGTGTCGTTCGCTGTAACTTGGATTTCATAAAGAAGAGTACTGAAAGAGTGTTAAACAACGTCATAGGTAGGAATTTTTTTGTCGTTTTGAATGCAATCTGAAAAATTTGAAGAAAATAAAAATTTATTGTAGACATATATGCTTATTTGGTTAGTCTAATAAGGTGCTCACTGTAAGTGAAGACAAGACTTTTGAATAAATTTGAACATGATGACCTGTATGTAACAACCAAATGTGAGACCTATAGCAAATTTATTAATTAATAGAAGTTTATAATGCTTTGTTCTGATTTTTAAACTTTAAATACATCAATTTGTTTCGCTGAGCAATATAACTCTGGTACGCAGTATCGCAAAAATTTTTTTTAAGATGCCGCTTTAAGTATCAGGGATTAGTGTTGTTAACTGTGATAGATTCTCTTTTTGCAAGAAGGCAGCATTCTTACTCAGCCTATAGTTGCAAAAAGATTTTTTGACTCTACAGCTTAATTTTCTGTAATTTTATTACAAACATATCTGACCAAGTGTAATACTATGCTACAAGTACTCACTGCTTCAAAACGCAAATAAGTGACGCTACGAAATACTAGGAATAGAGGTGCCGTAAAATACTATTTCAGTTCTAACTTGCTCAAATTAAAGCTTCTTCGTGAGTGTACGATCGTTTAATATAGCTCCAAAAACTGTGCCTTGGATTCACAGTATTTGTCTGCTTATCATTTTAGAAAAGTGCTAAAAACTAATAATTTGATGCATCTCATATTGTTTAAATAAGCACAGCAGTGAAGTTATTTGATTGCTAAAGAGCAAGTAGCAGTAAAATGCTTAAAAATGGTTTTTGCTGACTGTCAAGGAGTGTCAGAGTTTGACGATTGCTTTTAATCAGAGAAAAAACTGAAATCTGTATTTATTTGTTCTCGTAAGATGTAATAGTTGAGAATAATTTGCGAATTCTGTAGTAAATGCTTAGCTACCTGTAGATATTAGTTCGTTTATTATACATTTGAGTAAATGCCAACTATCTTAGTCTGTTTCGTCCAGGAAATGTTTGCTGGTGTTTGAAAGTCTTATGGCATTCTTTAAAGTGGAGAAGAAGCACAAAAATATTTTCAAAAATTTCGCTTTTTTTTTGTCATTACTGACAACATAAAAAATACATCGGATAAATTAATGCGTTTTTAAATATTACGGTAAGATATTTTTTCACTTGTTCTCAGAATAATAATAAAATATTTGTTGAATCTGATTTGTAGGTAATTTTGAAATAAAATAAAAATTTTATTTTTTGAGCGTGAGGTAAAGATTAAATAAAACAGCATCTTTGACATAAACTAAGTTCATGAAAACAATGCTACAAAAGATAAATAGTAGAAACTAGTCTGGTCCTAAACGAGGCTGAGACCTTTTTTTGAGTCATATTTGGTAATTTTATATTCAATGGGAATCTCACCCACAACATTCAATCATTTTTCGCTTAGAAAGAATTCCACATTTCAGTGCGTAAGATTTTAAACATTATTTTAAAACATCGCTAATTATAACTATTTCTTAGTGTCACTTGCATACATTCGCGAAGCAGTGAGCACTTACAGAATACAATCATATTCTATCAAATGTCTTCAATAAAATTTTGACAAGCTGTAGAATCAAGAAATCATTTTGTAACTATCAAACAGATAAGGGTGCTGATGTTAAACAGTAAAACAGCTTACAACGTTAGTTGAAAATGACGTCTGAAAAAAAAGAATGTTGCGGTCTAAAATTATATCTACTTCTTAGCAATATCAGTCAAGGTTGAACAAGCTTAGCTTCAAGTCACTGACGGTGATTTATTGAATTTTTTATATTTATTTGTAATCTCACTTCAGAGTTTAGATTGATTAAACGTATCAATTCACTAGCTCAATTTTTTCTAAGATTTTTGTAGTAAGTAAGTAGTTTGCTGAACAAGCAGAATAGGCTTTAATTTTAGTAACATTTCTCTGCAAACTTTGTGGAAGTTTCCAGCGCTTATTCAATGATATAAATAGTTTGTCTTGTGGTTATTTTAAATTTTCATTTCTTGACTGGCGAAATACGAAAAACATTAGATAGCATTTTGATTACTTTCGCTCTAACTTAAGAAACAAGAGAAAAATATAAAAAATTGTTTAAGAAAATAAAATTCCAAAAACATTCAAACTTTAGAACAATAAGACTAGATTTTTTTGTTACAATTTTTTTGCACTGCTTGAAACCATCTTTTTAAGAAATCTAATAAGCAAGCAAATTTTTTTCTTACTTCTCTTGAAAAAAATGAGAATGTTTTGAAGTTGAAAAACAATTAAGAAAAAAATTTAAAAACGAAAAAAAGAAGAAAGTAAAAAACCTGTTGTAAAGTATATTGGTCTAATTTGTCTGAACAAACAAATGTAAAATAGACCGATAAAAAATGTTTAACAAAAAAAAATCTTTTATCTTGCATTTGACTTGGCGTCTGCAATCACTTCAGTTTATTTGACGTAGATTTCAAGCAATAATCTAAGTAAACTAATTTTCTCGTTCACTCGTTCGTCATTCTGTCTTAGTCTGTTATCTTTATTACTACAAATTTCTTCAAATCAACTCATTCCTTTTTTGAAAAAGACTGTTAAAATAATCACAAAAGTTTGGTTTATTTTAAGTGTCTTTTTTTTTTCTGTTATCAGGTTGAGATTACTGTCAACTTTCATTGTTCGCAACATTCGCTACTATCAGTTACTGGCTCTTGATTATTAATTACCAGCTGTTTTTATAAACTTACTGTTGCTCGATAATATCAGAATAATATCTGTTGTTAGCAAATTAAAATTTTTCACTTTATTAAAGATAATACAAAAAAAAGCATGTAAGCTATAAAATAAATATACTTATGTGCAGTAAAGTGTATAATAAAAAAATTCGCTATCTTCCTAATCTTATTTTTTTCTTCTAAGTTTACATTATAATGCAACAGGTTTGTTGTAACGCTTTGGCAGTGGCATATTTTCCTGCAAAGGACGATTCTTTGTTTCTGGAATAAACAGTTGAAACAGCATCAGAGAACAAAATGCAGTAACCAACATGAACATATATGGTGCTGCATCCCAGGAATTTGCCTGAAATCTCCTATTTATTCGCCTCTGCCTGACAATGAATAAAAATTTCTTTAATAGACAGTATGATTTGAAGAAGAACTAACCAGAACGAAGAGCTGAGGTGCAAATATAATTCCTACTCGATTCATCACTTGCAAAAATGAAAATGCCGTGTTACGTACAGGTGTTGGGAATATCTCGTTTGATGATACGTTTAAAACAATAAAGAGATGGCTGGATATAATAGATATCGCTAACGTCAAGAAACGAATGACGCTTGGAAATTGATTTCCAAATTCTCAGAAAAATTTTTTTCAGAATTAATTGTGACACTTAGTTTACAAATGAAACACCTGATTTGGTGTGCCATAATTACATCACTTAACGTCAAACTGTAAGTATAACGTTTTTACTCTTCTCCTTTAATGTTGATTTTTCTTTCTCGGTTTTTAATTTTTCAATTGTGCTTTACTTGAGGATGGTAATCGTTATCAGTGCATTATAAAGAACACATTTTTGGAAGAAAAACTATGTTGTTCTGATTTGGTAATTTTTAAGAAAGACTCAGTGGAGGCTCACAATGCGTTTTTATACACCGTATTAGCTTTGTCGGTTTTTTTAGAACGTGTACTTTTTATTCAGTTTTGCTTTGTACTTTTTCGCCGACTTTTTTCAAGTTAAATAGAAAGTGATTGAAAAGTTAGACAGATTCCTCTAATTTTAGCCTATCAATTATTATAAAAGAGTTTAAGCGTTCAAAAATTTGCTGTTTAGTACTACAGTTTACTCACCAAAAATGATTATTGCATTTATGATAAGCAAAACAATAACCATTGCAATCATTGACAGAATAAATACTGTTTTTCTTCCAAACCATTTAAATTTGAAATCCATAAAGCCAAATATAGCATTAATTTTCCACCTGTAATTTGAGCACTTGAACAGCTGTAGTAGAGCAGTAGTGCTCTGTATAAAAGTAAATTTCGAAAGTTATTAGCAACTAACAGACCTTGCAAAACCAATAATGACATTGTTGATGTAGACTGACCCGCTGACTACACCGATATTAAATAGTATACCGTAATTTAGAACACTTGTTACAAAACTGCAAATTTTTTGTTTTTTCTTGTTGCTTTTTTTTTTTCAAAACTATAAAGTTTTTTATGTCATTGTTGCAATCAGATATAACTTTTTTTTTAATATAAGTTATTTGATCAAAAAATGTACAATATCAAATGTCTTACCGAATAGTAACCTTTGTGTAAAGCGGAAAAAAAAATTTACATCAAATCTTACTGCAGATACCAGACAAATTTTTGAAAACGTTTTGAAAACAGTTAAGAAGCAACAGTGTAGCACTTCCTTGTCAACGAATTAGTGACAAACTTACTAGCTAAAAGCGAGAATTAAAGTACGAATTGCCAATTGTTTTGAAGAAAATAGATGATGCATATAGTAGCGGCGCTTGTTAGCATTTCTGTCTTCATTTAACTTCAACAGCATACAGATTTCGACTACTCGTTGAAAACAATTTTAGATAATAAAGCATTTTTAAGTAACTTGAAACAAAAAAAAAACTAACCTTTTTTTCGTTAAAAATGATCAAATTTACCATATTGTTGCAGTCAACCTTTGAATTTTCAAAACACAGTAACGCTTTCAGTGCTTTTTTGGCCTCTTCATAATTCTGCTTTTGTATCAACCACCGTGGAGACTCTCTTATAACTCTGAAAAAAAGCTTCAAAGTGCCTGTGTTGTTACCAAAAACTCTGCCTTTTTTCAGTTGCTAAAGACTGTGGAATTTTAAAAGATTGTAAGGTATTGTCGTCGCTTGGTATATGCACGCTTCTGACGTATTATACGCTTCTGACCATTTAACTGCGTAAAGAAGTTTATATGTAGCAGCTTTTAAAGCTTTTTAGTGTCTATTTAGTGTTCTGTATATATCTATCTTAGCCTTTACTTAGTGTTTAAAAAAAGTCTAGTTCTTACTTTTCTTTCAACTTTGCTAGTAAAAATGATTGAAAACTATTCCTGACTAATCACTCTCTTCTTTCTTACTGCTTAAATACTCCACCTGCTCAGAGAATACTAGCTTAACAAATCCCGATATAAGCAAGATATTGTTGTTTCTCCGACTATTAAAAGTTTTTTTTTTTGTAGATCAGTGGCAATGAGATGCACATAATTATAAATGAATAACTTACGCCAACGCTTGCAAAAATTTCTTAATTACATCAATTACTGAATATGAGTATATACGAACAAACTAAGTCCTATTGCTGGTATAATGCATGCGCTGGTTACTTGAGCAAGTAGTCGCCAACTGTGAGATGCATATGCAATCGCAGCAAAGATGATATAATTTGGTGACCAACTAACAATAGCATTGATCCACATACGGTCCTTCATTGGTAGCATTTCAACCAAATAAACCAACATCACTCTGCAAAAAATGTTTAGCCAAAACTAACTTCTTATTTTTCCAAGTTTTTATGACAACTCAGTTTAAAAAATTTGCATTCAGTTTTTGATGGTTAACAACTGATCTTTAGTGCACTTTAAGACTATCTGAGTCATCAATAGACCAACTAAGCTTTTTAACGCTGTCAAATAATTGCAACATAGCCAATACTCACGCGATTTGTCCACCGGTAAAAAATAGACCAATTGCTCTTAGAATCGTAAGAATAGAGAGGCTGTTGGCAAATGATGACAGCAAATTTGCAATAGCTGTTCCGATCAAACATGCTATAAGGCACTGTAAAAATTCTTTTCGAGTACTCATATTGAACTTCCTCAAAATGAGTATTCAAAAAGAATTTTTTTTTACTAAACAAAAGTTTTATTGAACAAAAAATAAGAAAGAGAATTTGTTTACTCACTTTATTGCTCACGTTCCATCAAAAAGTTTTGATAAAATTTTGTGTTATTGTAACTATAATTTCTTCATAGATAAAATTAGAAAGTTTTAAAATTATATTTAGCGAACAACAGTAAGTCGTAAATCTAACCGGTTTTCTACCAAAAATGTCGCTAAGCTGTCCAACTGCAACAGAACCGAAAACTATGCCTGTTGCTTGGTACGAAATACTGTTCTTCACCAACTGCGAAGTATTGCAATAATAACCAAACTTGAAACACACTGTTACTTTTGATAGATTCTATTTTTGTTGAAGAAACACCATTTTTCATAAGTTCTCATATGCTTTTTTTTCTTTGTTATTTGTAATTCGTACGATAAGACGATAAAATCGGTTTCTGCGAACAGCAAAATTTTTTTGTCAAAGAGACTTCTAATTATTACAAAACGATCTCAACTAAATTTTCAGAGATTCCACTAATTTAATAACACCTTTAACGGTTAAAAGGCATTGTTTATGCAAAGTTATAAGCAAAAATCTTTTGAAAGCTTTCTTCGGAAAAGAAGATGGTTGCTTTAAAAGGTACCTCTACGTTAACTGAGTAAAATTGCGATTCTAGTTTTGGAATACAGGAAGTGTTTGCTTGTAGATCTGTAAGCAAATCGCAAGCTTCTTTGGCACTAAGTGACCGAACTATTTTAGTTTCTCCACAAGCAACTGGTTTAGCTACAAGACCTATAAATGAAAAATACATCTAAATTTTTTTTTTTACAAGTCAATCTAGCTATTTGTCCTAAAGTTGCTGAAAATAAGACAAAATATTATTGTACTCAAAGAAAAGAAATACTACAAGTAAAGTTTGAACCCTTTTTTTCTTAAAAATTATGCTTTTTTCGTGTTTATTTGGTATTTAATAGGTACAAGTTTTTTTTGGTGATCTTGCCTGAACGCTTTGAAGTCAGAGATTGAGAAATGAGCAGAAGACAAAAGCCGTAGAACAACAGAAACAGTTTTTTGTCAAGGCACTTTCTTTGCAGCTGTTTTTATTACAATCACAAGTGTTAAAGGGTTGATTAAGGAGACAATTCAAGGTGCAGAAAAGAATTGGCTGATTCTTGTACGGCGGCCACGAAAAACCTTTTGTAGGTTTTTAGCTAACGTCGTTGTTTTTAAAAGTGTTTTTTTGCTGTAAAAATCCTAGTGAAGAAAAAAAGTGAAAAAAATTTTTACTTGTTAGAAAAGCCCTAGCTGGTTTCAGAAAAAAATGCAGAGTAAATACTGAGAAGTATTCTTAGAAGTTACATTAAATTTATGCAACTGAAAGATTTTCGCAGTTCTTTTTAATCTGTAAAAAAAATCGAAAAATTATGAACACATGCTCTGTGACACTTTTACTCCAGAAATTTTAATGTAGGTCACCTCGTGTTGTTCTCTCAAATTTTCTGTTTCGCAAACATTTCTCAAAAATTGTATTTTTTTTTAATTAAATACTGTTATCAAACTAAGCACCATAAAGTTTAAAAGAAGTAAAACTATATCTGCGAAGAAAAGAAAGATAATTTTTCGTGAAAATTTTATAGTTTGTCGGGGAAATGGGAACAGACATTAGAAAAAACACCTAAATCTTTTTGCCTGTGTCAAAAACGGTAGACGAAAACAAAGAAAGGCTACGATAAAGAAAGAATAAATTTTCCGATTTTAATCCCACAAATCTTTTCGCCTTATTTCTTTTTATCAACAATTGCTTTTTTCTGACACTTTTTTCCAAAAAAAACAGTGAAAGAGGAAGTGAAGCTACAAAAAACTTGTCTCAACTTATAACTCTTGCAAAAATACCTTAACTTTTTATGTACCTGCATAAGACATAAAATTAACGTTGCTCAACTGTGAAAGGATCATCAATTCTGCCAGAACAGATAGCAAAAGAGTGTACCATCCTGGTTTCAATATGCTATCGATTAATAATAAACTTTTTTCAGTAGATAACGATTCCGATTCTCTACGCATGTTGTCCAGATTACTGAAAACACCTACGTAAAAGCACTAAAGGAGCAAGATAAGAGCGTAGCGTTTGAAGAATTTTGCTGCGCAATTTATGATTTACAATTTTTAAACCAACAATATGTTAGTAGTACTTTAGGATTATCAAGTTTTATATTGAATTTATCGCGTTAACACTGAATGACGATTTGTACAGATATAATTATTATTGAAGAAAAAAGACTTTTTTAGAAAAAGACGCGATTTGAACAATATATTGAACCACTAGACGACGAACCACTAAACCAGTAAAATTGAAATCTGACCGTTTACATTGCCGTGGTGACAACCGATTGCAGTGTATTTTTTGGAATTTTTAAAACCAGAAAAACACGTACATTAATCAATAGTATGACAACAAGTAGTATTAAAAACATTATGAAGTGTTAAAACATCAATTTTCAAGTAAAAGTTCTTCACTATAGATGACATCTATGCTCCTGAATAATCTGTGTAAAAAAAATCTTCTGTAAATGACGGTGCAGAACTATTTGATCGATCACTGTTCATATTTCAACAGCATTAAACACAACAAAAAAAAAAAAAAAAA